TGATGATGATGATGATGATGATGATGATGATGATGATGATGATGATGATGATGGAAAGGATGATACAGCATTACTAATGATGATGATGAAAAGGATGATAATTTTGATGGTGATTATGATTGTGATCATGATGACGATCTTAGCAGTAGCTTAAGGAGTGGCCACGTGGAATATTTTGTTGTCTCTTTCCGGCACAAGTGATGCTGATGATTACGAGGAGGAGGGAAGTGGTAAACACGACTGAAGTGAACAACTCTAGCAGACCGGCGTCTGTGGTGTAGACGTTAGGAACTTCTCTGTCGCACGTAGGAGATCGAAGTTCGCTTTCCGAGTGGGGAGAACATTTTTATCGAGTGTTTCAGTCGTTCTGTTGAGGTATTGTTTCCTTTTCTGCCCGACTTTGCCCTGACACGTATAGTCGGAAGCCCGACTTTTAAATGATCTAAATTGTGACGTTGTGGGCTTAAAAATGCCGCCATTTAAAACAATATTAAAATAAAACCTAGCACACTTTACTGACAGAACAGCAAGCCAAAGTTCATGGACTGTTTGTGGATGGGCATATTTTAACTCTTTGAAGTTGGCACGTCTTTTGACACGATGACGCCTTATTGTATTTTTGTCTTGTTCTTATACATCAGAAATATCTGTACCATAACATTTTTATCCTAATACATCAAATCTTTTACCTTTTCAGAACATTTTGAAGGGTAGTGCATGCTTGTCGCTAGGAATCTATATTTTTCCTGTTGAAATGTTAATGTTCACTTATTTCAAATCAAACTTTGCTTACGACTTGTAAGAGTTAAAAATGTTAATAAAACAGCAACGTCTTTTTCAAGGTTGTGATGGTATTGACGTAGAAATTTGCCGTTTTTTGTCTTGTTTTTGCTGGGTTTGGTGATGGGGGTCGTGGTAGTTGTGTTGGTCAAGGGGCAATGCTATTGTTGCTGCTGCTGCTGCTGCTGCTGTTTTTTTAATTTTTGTGATTTATGCAATTGATAATAGAAAAACTCTGTCTTTACTTTGCTTTGATCATGTTTCTTCATTGTCCTCCTTTCGGTCCTGCCAGGAAAATGTACACTTATCGTACTGTTGGGAGTATGCATATGAGGCAATTTTTGCACAATCATCTCTCCTCAATACCAACTGACGTCATACTTCACAGCCATTCGACAAGACCGATTAATATTTCTAGTGTTGGCAGGGACTTGTGGTACAAACAACGTCCATATTAAATTCAGAGAGCACAGTCAATTAAACTAACCACAGTTTTCATAATACAACATCAGGGATTTCATCCTGGTTATTGGTGTTTCAATTTAAAATTTTCATCGCTCCATGTAATGATGGTATAAACTATGTATGCAGATCACTCTGAAAATCAACCAGGAAAAGACTAATACATTTTCTTGGACACTTGAATACACATAAAGGCCTTGAACATCTAATTCTCGCTGCTGGGAAAATTGAAGGCAATATAGACACGGGCAGGCCCAGAGGAACCCACTTGGAGAGCCTAAACAGATGGGTGACGGGGAGAGATCAGAACAATGCAAGTTTTTGAAGAGCAAAGGATTGAATCTAAAACCACGATCGCCGACGTCTGTCACAGATCTGGGACACGATGATGAATCAAGAGCAGGCCAGCCACTGACAGCGCGGTTTCGTCTATTTAGGCTACCGTGCTGAAATAAAATAATACTATGTCTTATCCATTAAAACTTTTCATTATGTAGTTTTTAGATTCACCGATATCCTTTTTGAAATATAAAACTGTCAAGAAATGCGTTACGATACAAAGAGTCTCTTTTGTCTAAAATCAGCTGTCAAATCGTCTGAATGATAGCATTAAACTGGCCGTGTGAACTGACATCTCCACGGAAGAGATCAAAGCAAGTCATTTCGTTTGTAGTAACCTTATTGAATGAGAGAGAATTGTGGATCTTATTTGATCATGATTTCACTCGCAAGTCGTGTCAATGTTTGATTTCTTTTCTTCTGAACGTCCTAGTTGAGAGACACAGACAATTAAAGAGTCAATTCTAGTGCTCCTTTTTCTTTTCTCTGTAAAATATCCTTACATATGCATGGAATTGTTTCGTGCCTAGTTCAAGAGAGAATGATTACGTCATAAGAACTGAACGTTCCATTTTGACTTATGTCTCAGATAATAATGTTAGTGTCAAGTGGACGCCTATAAATAACATTTTTTAAACACAATTCACGCTACAATCTATTCTTTAATGGATAGAGAAAGTTTCTGTGCAACAAAAAATGGATAAAAATCATCCAACCGGCGGGAACATACTGATTTCTTTGTTTCCTGAAATTTGACGGGCGCCTGATTCCACATACTCTCACAGCTAAACTGTGGAATTGTGGTACCTTTAGTTCAGAAGAAAAAATACAAATTGATCTGAGACATAACAGGTCTAACATTTACTGTTCTGACGGTTACTTTTTTTTCTCGGTGACCTATATTTTCCTTTTGAATTCGAATTTGTGGGACTATACTCTCGAGGTGTTCGCATTGAGTGCGTTACGTCACAGCGTGGACACATCATTGTGACAGTTCAGGTCTGTGGAGACTCGGATCCCAAGAGGGAAAGCTGTCACAGCTCCGTCGCAGGGGATAAGATCAGACAGGTCAGAACTCTGATATAGAAAAAAACGTCTAATTTTCACCACGCGGTGGAATCAGACGCTCGTCAATATTAGGGCATATAGAGTTTCTGGTTTAATCTTAAAGCCTTTTTTTGCCTTGTGATGGTTTCTTTTGTTTTGGTTTTTGGTTTTGTAAAGTGTCTTACGGCGCTCGCAACTGCATAAGGTCATATGAGCTCGAGGGACATACCTAATATATTCAGTTGGTAGGACAATTTGAATTTTCCGGGTGGCGGCCGAAGCCTACTCTTATCGATTTTAGACCACCAAGAGATCTTTAACATGCGCAACTTGCACACGACTCCTCCGAGATTTTTTGCCCTTGTCCGAGAAGGCTAGGTGTAGATCTTTCCTACCAGAAGATCAAGGGGGTGGCAGAAAGACAGCAGTAAGGAGGAGCCAAGGACTAGCAGTAGAAAGGCTGCAGAAAGAGTCAGGAGCCCAGAGGAGGGGACAAATGAGGTGAGGGGGTGGGGCTAGAAAGTGGAAATGAAAGCAGACAACAGAACAATGTTTGAGAGCAGGAAAGGAGGTGAAAGGAGACAATTTTAGAGAAGAAAATGTTTCGTTCGCTACCCGGATTCGATCCCGGGACCTTTGAATGAGAGGCCAACACCTTAACCTCTAGGCCACGAGAGCCCCCCATGGTTTCTTTTTAAACGCCAATCTTGAACAGAATTTGAGATACAATGTACAATTGAAG